TGGAAGTGTGCAGCATGTAACATGGTCTCTCCACTCTGCCCTTTGGAGAAAACAATGTGACAATCTAGAAAGTTGAACCCCTAAATTTGAGCCCATTCTGCAGTAGCCAATGCTCCCTATAAACCTTCTGCTTCTGAAATTTTTCCTAAAATCCAAGGCTTAATGCAGTAAAAGAAGCTCTGAAACAAAGTCAAATAGTAAGAGAGGAAGAGCACATCATATTCACCTTGCAAGCAAATAAAGTTTGCATAAGCAAAGGGTAGGATTCTGAGGAGAGCCCATTTAGAGGAAAGCAGGAGTGCTTTTCTCTCAGAAAGGAGGAGCCAGCACACTGAAGGAGAGACAATGGATCGCTAGTCCTTGGTGGTTCTGTAGGAGCTTCCACAGTCCCCAGAAAGCCGCATCAGTCTCTACCCATCCCACCTCACACACACCACTCAGGCTAGTCCTCAGCAGGACCAGACCATCTGCTCTGGCAGTGAGATGCTATGGCTTCAAGTGCTTTGATGTATGGACCAAAAAGTCCGCAGAGACAGAGGTGAGCAATAATCAAGCCCTTCCGGAGACGAGATTCAGCCCCAAGCAGCCACTCCTCATTCACCAACCTCCCAACTCTCTTCAAGACACTCTCCTATCATGAACATACTTGTAAATTCTGAATTTTACTTCATAACATCCCCTGAAAGTTTCAATGAAGTAAATATTTTTTCTTTCTGGTCTTCGAGAACAGATGCACTGGGAAAAATCACCAAATAACTTTGCCTGTGTTTTGCCCGTATGCCAGAATGAGCAGTACACTCCAAAGCTAGGAGAAAAGAGCAAAATAAACCTGGAAAATGCAGGAAGAAGGAATTAAATGGTAAAAGTATTTAATGGTAAACTGACTAATTAGAAAACTGGAAGACAACAAAATTTATAGCATTTGCATCTAAAAGCTACTCACCAAAAAGACACACAGAATAGAAAAATCTACCCAGTCAAGCCGGAGATCCAGCTTGCGACCTATGCTAATGAATCCAGTTCATCAAGCAGTAAATATCAGAGCTGAATAGACATTGGGAGCACAAAAAAGCAACAACTTAGGGAAGAGGAGAAATTTATTATTCATTAATAGTAGAAGTATAATCAGTATCCTCAAAGTTATTAGTATTCTCAACTGATTGTGAAGAAAAATGAACAATCAGGGACAAGAAAAACTTTTCAGAGATGAAAAACGTGATTGCCAAAATTTTAAAATTCAGTTTGTATGGCATAGTCTGATTTTGTTAGTAGTATATATGTTTGCATTCAAGGAAATCTGACGTTTATAACCCAGACCATTGACAGAAAAGTGTCTCTGAAAACTGGAAGAGGATTGATGACCTGAGCAAGGGATAAACTTTTACTATTTCATTCAGTGTTTAAGAACAGATGCATGCATGCTTAGTCAGTCATGCCTGATTCTTTGAAACCCCATGGACTGCACCCCACCAGGCTCCTCTGCCCATGGGATCCTCCAGGCAATAATACTGCAGTGGGTTGCCATTTCCTCCTCCAGGGGAGCTTCCCAACCCCAGGATCGAACCCAGGTCTCCTATGTCTCCTGTATTGCAAGTGGATTCTTCACCCACCCTACAACAAACTCGAAAGAAAGAGAAATCCCACTTAACTCTGAGCAAGCTACTTGACACAGGTAAACACACACACACACAATGGAGTGCTTCTCAGCCTTAAGAGGAAAACACTGCCGTTGGCGACAACACGGACAGAACTTGAGGGCATTGTGCTGTGTAATATGTCACACAGAGAAAGACAAATACCTATGTCTTCGCTGATATATGGAATCTTAAAAAAAAAATCCAAATTCATAGAAATAGAAACCAGAATGATGGTTTCCAGAAGCTGGCAGTTGGGGGAGACAGATGTTGGTCAAAAGGTCCAAACTTCTAATTATGAGTGAGTTCTGGGGATCTAATGCACAGCATGGTGATCACAGTTAGCAGTCTCATATTATTTACCTGAAGGTTATATACTAAGCGAATAGATCTTAAATGTTCTCACCATACACACAGCCACACACAATGGTAGTTACGAGGCTTGAGACAGGTATCAGCTAATGCTATGCTGGTAATCATTTTGAAGTATATGACTGTATCAAATCAACACTTTGTACACCTTCAACTTATGCAATACTACATGTCAATTATATCTCAATAAACCTGGGGAGGGGGATAAGTGTATCTCTCAAACACATTAATTTATACAGTTATGCCTCTAAGAAACTAAGCATTTCTGAAACTTGGCTTAAACTGATGGCCCAATGGGATAGAAAGAGCATCTGTAGATGCCCTTCATTCAGATCATTCTTACACAGAAGCAAGCTCAGACCAAGTTCATACTGCTACTGAGAGATGCTCCTCACCCTGCGCAAAATTCTGATGGTTCTGGGTAGGTGCAATTATGTAAATCTAGCACATCTGAAGTATGCTAGGGGAGTTTGAATTTTAAATAATCTTATGGTGAATCTTTCTGTAAAGCAAATTATTAACTTAATTTTCTTGTTTTGTAAAATCAGATTTTGGTATGTGAGATGTTTAAAGTTGGATAAATCTATAATTCTGCTTCATAAAGTGTGTAATCTTCTGCAACTGCAGGCATCAACAATCATGGTTCCATGAGATATGCAACCTCACGCGTTGGATTAAGCAAATGCCGTTCTGCATGCCTAATTAAGGGCAGAGATGGTGGCCTGCTATTTCCCGTCTTCAGCCCCACTCCATCCAGGGACTCTCCGTTGCCTGAGGAAGTTACACAGACATCCCTGTTTCTGCACCTCGTGTACTCGAAACCAAGCCCTGTAACCGAATTAGCTTCACTCTGTCAGAACACTGCATCTTCTCTGCTCAGAACTCTGCATCTTCTCTGCTCAGAGCTCTGCATCTTCTGGCTTTTTAAAAACTGGCTCCCTACTACTCTTAAGTTTGTATTTTCAATTATTAAAGAAAAGAGACCCCTTATCAAAACCACAACTCCTCTTATTAAAAAAAGAAAGAAAGAAATCTATGTCTCTCTCTTTTAGGCAGAAAGGCAACACTTTTAGACACCTGTCAGTCTGAGTTAGAGTTGCTGAAACATATTGCATTCACGTGTACCACATCCTTAAAATGAAAACACAATAACACTGGCTTAACTCAGAAGCCCTCATCAGGACTTCCCTGGGGGTCCAGGGGCTAAGCATCCAGCTGCCAGTGCAGGGGACATGGGTTCGATCCCTGGTCTGGGAAGATTCCACCCACTGCAGAGCAACAAAGCCCATGGACCACAGCTACCAAAGCCCATGCCCCTAGAGCCTGTGCTCCGCAACAAGAGAAGCCACTGCAAGGAGAAGCCCACACATGGCAACTAGAGGGTAAGCCCCGTTTGCTGCAACTAGGGAAAGCCTGTGCGGCAACGAAGACCCAGTGCAGCCAAAACCAAACAAACGTATTTTTAAAGCCCTAATCAGTATAACTCAATATTTTAATTCACTGAAACAAACACGTTTATGGGGTCTCAAAGAGTCGGACACGATTGAAGCAACTTAGCATGCATGCATGCATAGGAGAAGGAAATGGCAACCCACTCCAGTGTTCTTGCCTGGAGAATCCCAGGGACGGGGGAGCCTGGTGGGCTGCCGTCTAAGGGGTCGCACAGAGTCAGACACAACTGAAGTGACTTAGCAGCAGCAGCAGCAGCAGCAGCAAACATGTTTTAAAAGCTAATTTGAGCTAGAAAGTCCAATAAAGAAATAAATGTTAGTAACCAAGGTGGCAAAGGAGAAAAAAAAATTCCATATTATAAAAGCACAGGATGGCATTTTGATGGTCAAGAAATTCCTTCTATTGTGCCAGGTGCCTTAAAACCACCATTTCAGATATCTATGGGTGCTATTATGGAAAAAGTAAATGTCACTAGGCCACTTTGTATTATAAGATATGCATTGTGATTTTTAAATTAAATTAACTAGCTTTTAGTTTTTACATGAAAAACATTTTAAACCTCAAAATCGGACTGGCTTAAAATCTCTATCCGGTATATGACAAATGATGCACTTGTGAGCTGACCTTGATTTTGAGAATTGCCTTTAAAAAATCATTATGAAAAGGAGAGGACCTGAAGGAATTCCTTCCGACATATTAATAGCTCTCACCAAGACGATTAGGTCATGGCTGAATCAAGTCAGAAGCACTTTCATCTCTGGAATATATTGAATTTTTTAAAGAATTTTTCAGTCATGCATTTTGCAGAACACCTTCAAATGCAAAGCATGACTCTCTCCTTAGAGACTGGGTTCTTTTGGACCTTTCAGAGAGTCGGGGGCCAGAGACTATTTCTATTCTATTGCATCTCTGCTAAGCACTTCAGGTGGGAAATAACATGGCTATGGGTGTTTCAGGGAATAATTCAAATGACAATGTAGAAATAATGAGGTTCTGAACTAGGGCAGTATCCATGGGAATGGCAAAGAGGGAATGAGTCAAGAAATCCTGAAGATACAAAATGAATGTGGTTTCTTAACTAACTAGATGCAGGTAATAAGGGGCATGACAAAATTTCTAGGTTGAGTGAATAAAGGAGAAGGAAAATCACACTTAAGGAAGGAAATGAATTCCACATAGACATGTTGAGTTTTAAAAACATTTAGTGCACACAACAAACAATTGTAAATTGTAAATACAGATCTGAAGTTCAAGAAAGAGAAATACATCCTAACGAATAAGATCTGGGGATGTATAATAAAGTTCAACCCAGGAAGGAATAGGAGATTCCCTGAGGAAAGGAGTGGGGAAGACAGCTTAGAAGTTTGGAAATGGCTAAGTGCAGTTAGCAGGCAGGAGAAGATAAACCATTCCTTCATTCAATAAGCAGTTTGAATGAAACAACCTCTCTCTTCTACTCTGTAAAGAGAATTTGTTTGTTGGGAAGGTGGGCTGGGAGGAGACGCTACAGAGTTCTCTGTCCTGCGGTGAGACTGGTGTAGGATGGTTAACAGCCAAAGGGGGATGAGCTCCACGAACACAGCAAGCGCCGTGGGGGCCACGTCGGAAGTCCCCGCACGGGCCACGCCGGAAGTCGCCGCGGGGGCCACGCCGGAAGTCCCCCACGGGCCACGTCGGAAGTCGCCGCGGGGGCCACGCCGGAAGTCCCCGCACAGGGTCAAGCGGAGACAACTTCAATCGCAAAGTCGAAGGAAGGGGGTGATGTCAGTGCACCACCCTCCCTCTCACACTGCCCCATCATTGCTGAACGCCACCACCTCTCACCCTCTTCTCAGGTTTCAGGGCTTTCTTCCAAAAGTCAGCAAAGCTTAGACCAAAAGCTCAGGTATCTTTCAGGTAAAGGGGAGTATCTGTCTGTTCAGCACAGTAAAATCACTCAGAGTAAAGGACCAAGGCTTCCTGCAGTAAATGCACACAGGAAACACACATGCACACACACCTCTGCAAGCATATTCACAGCTTCTTTCCTCGCCTCATGGAAGTTTCCAGAATTTCTTTACACCACCACCTCCTCCTCCCACTCCTCCATCCTCTTTCTCTCCATCACTGTAGCCTAATTCTAATGTACTCCACGCCCTTTCTTTCTTCACGTGTCTGAATGGTCCTCTCCAGATTCGCTGCTCTGCGCTTGTCTCTGGCCCTCCATTCACGCCCAGCTCCTGCTCTTGTTTCTTCTTCCATGCGTATGATGACCCTAAAAAGTACAGAAGGTCTTGCATACCGTTAACACTTAAAACCCACACAAATCAGCCAGCCAAGTCTGTCAGGCAAAGTGTTCCTCCTATACAAGCTGCAAGGAGGGTACATAGACCAGTTAATGTGGATATAAACTCTCATATAATTCAGAGTGCAACTGTGGCCCAAGCCAAGGGAACTCCAAAAATACACCAGAAATAAGCAGCCTTCAGAGAGTCATACTGCTCTGAAGATATACATAATTTCCTGAAGCAGAGTCTTCCTTTTATGAGCTAAAGCATAAATCCCCATTTTTGCCAATTGTTCAGAATTATCAGGTCAGAATAACTACTTTAAGTAAACATTCATAATGTTTTCATTATTTTATGTGTAAAGAGCTGTTCTGATTCAAATATATACCCTGTAACTTTGCAAATCGTTGTTTTCATCATTACTGTTCATACGCTTTTACTACAAAAGCTCACTGTTGCTGATCTATGGCATTTTTCTTGCCATCAGATTATTTCCTAAATCTATCTAATCCTTTTGCCCTCTGTATAATATTTCAATTTAGAAAGAAATATCAATATGTTGACTCCTGTGCTGAGAATACTTTTTATGGTGAAAAATCTAATGGCATATTCAATCACTCTATTATTGTTATCAGTATATCTGGATCCAGGGGTAAATGTCTTGAGAAAGCTAGTCTTGAGGAAAAAAAGTGAGGTCATCCACAGGGGATACATATATAGTGATTATTACTGGGCTCATGTTTTCAATTTAATCACTCCCTATGATCCATTTGCCCTGAGGCTATGACTGTTGAAACAAAATTATTTCACTTATACTCCTGTTAATGGGAACTGTAACTCTCATCAGCAGCCCTTTGTGTTACAAAAGACTCAACCTCTTCCTAATCATTCACAAGGTTTAGGAATGAATTAAAATTCAAATAAAATTTCTCTCATAAGGTAATAGAGCATGTGACCCTTTTATGATAAACTATAATGCTGGGGTGCATAATACAATTGTTCCATCATTTGCTATTCCCAGAAGTAAAACATATAGTAATAGTAATATATGCTGCTCTATGTATTTCATACAACACTACCTAATAACACATCCTTTTTATTTTCTCGACAGTGATTTAAAAGTACTACAAACTTCTATATTCAAGAAAGAATATTTTCATAGTCTTAATCTTCTTTCAATCTCTCTAGCACAATGTTCCTTAGAATTATTCTTTATCACAAGACAAAATATGTCCCCCCAAAAATCCAGGTAATCCTCTCTTTCTTTTATTCTTCTATTTGCTTCAACAAAGCAAACACCGTAGGATCAGAACTGAGGAAAATGAGACATCTTTGAAGTGACTTTCTTGTTGTCTCAGCCCACCAGTCAGAACAAAGACACTTTTCCACTAGTTGTGGGTCCAAAAGACAAGATTCTGAGTGCCTAAATCTAAGAGCATCTATCTGTCATGATAGCCCACAGCAGCTACTTCTTCCAGCACCATGACCACTTCACTTCCATATTTCCCTGAAGATACAAGCAAGAAGACACTCCAGGAAAATGTGGGTAGTGGCTGGACACCTGACCTTGCCTTCTCCTGCCTATGATGAATTGGGCCAGGCCAGTCATGAGCCTCAGACTCTCTCTTGCCTTTGGCACAGGTCTGGATGATGACCTGCTTCCTCCACCCCCACCTCTCCTGCCATCTGGGTCCCACTGTGATCCTGCTTCTTCCCTGGGGTGCCTCCAGGCTAGAGGCAATCCTAGCACCAGCTTCCCAAGAGAAAAACATTTATACAGATAAATGAATGCCTTCGGGCCAGCCCCTGATCAAAGCAGGATCAAACTGTCCACTTCCTGCTTCCTTTCCTGGTGTTGATTCCCAACCGCCACTCAAACCAGGCCTGGCCTGGCCTTCCAAGTCTCTGATGACCTGCCAATGAGAAATATTCCTGGCCCAACTTATCACAGTTTTACCTCACCATAACTGCTTGTGGAAGGGAAGAGAGGAAGGGGAAGGAAAAAATGAAAGGGAAGAAGATAGCAAGGAAGGAAGTGGGGGTTGGGAGAGAAAGCAAAGGAGGGAAGGAGGGAAATGAGAGTGTATGCTGAAAACACTCCCAGCTCAGCAGCCTTGGATAAAACCAGCCCTCGTCCTCAAGCGTCTTTCACTGGATGGGATGGGGCTGTTAGTAGCTGTTGGTAACTCCAACAGAGCCACCTTTTCTGGGGTGGGTCTGTGGTTAGTTTCCTGACTCACTGAATATGTTCAAAATTTTCAAGCTCTTTAATCAAAATAAAAGGGAAAACAAAACGCAATAAATGACAAAATGGAAAACATTAGAAATTTTAAAAAGGAAACATTGACCTCCCAAAGCAACACTAGTTTGTCAAAACCAAACTATTTTATAGATTTATTAAAATTATATTTCAACTGGAATCCATTTTAGACCTTGACGATTCCAGGAAATCGTTCAACCAAGATGTCTAGTTGAGAACTAAACTTAATGAGTGTCACTGGGGATAAAAGAGGAGGAATCAGATACCCACTCAATCAGTCGGAGTTTAACAAAGGAAGAAGAACCAGCCAAAACTGTGTTTGTACATTAACAAGGAATTGGTTTATGCAACTGTGAGGACCAGTTAAATAACTGCATAGGGTCGACATTCAAAAAATAGAAGAAATGAAAAGCTGTTACCTGTGAGCACAGGCTGAAGCTCCTGTCCAGAGGCAATCACAAAGGAAGATTACAAGCAGGATGAAAGCAACAAGGCACAGGCTGAAGTTTACTGCCCCTGGGCCATTAAGAAGGGGAAAGTATGAGCAGGCCGCAATCCCAAGATCCAGCGTGTGTTAGCTGTTTAGTCGTGTCCGTGTTCGACTCTATGACCCCAGTGACTGTAGCCCGCCAGACTCCTCTATCCATGGGATTTGCAGGCAAGAATACTGGAGTGGGTGGCCATTTCCTTCTCCATGGGATCTTCCCAACCCAGGGATCAAACACGCATCTCCTGCGTTGCAGGCAGATTCTTCACTGTCTGAGCCAGCAGGGAAGCAAAATCCGGTGAAGAAAAGCAGATGCAGACCCAGCAGCTGCGGGAGTCTGGAGTCCAGGGAGGGCCTCTTTGAAAGGGCTCGCTTGACTAGGCCAGGCCCACCCAGGGTAATCTTCCTTTTGATTGACTTCAAGTCTACTGATTGAGAACTTCAAACTTCAAACTCCTTTGTTGTAGCATCTAAATTAGTGTTTGATTGAATAGCTAAGGACTATTGTTCAGTACAGCCAAGCTGACACATCAATAAGCTATCATACCCACTGTCCCCTAAAACTAATTGGGGAACTCTACTAGTCTATATTTATTCAATGCATAAGCATTTACTTTATACAAAGCCCCATGCTGTGCACAAAGGTTCATATAGTCACAGCTATGGTTTTTCCAGTAGTCATCTATGGATGTGAGAGCTGGACCGTAAGGAAGGCTGACTGCCAAAGAATCGATGCTTTTGAGCTGTGGTTTGGAGAAGACCCTTAAGAGTCACTAGGACTGCAAGGAGATCCAACCAGTCAATCCTAAAAGAAATCAATCCTGAATATCCATTAGAAGGGCTGATGCTAAAGCTGAAGCTCCAGTACTTTGGCCACCTGATGCAAAGAGCTGACTCATTAGAAAAGACCCTGCTGCTGGGAAAGACTGAAGGCAGGAGAAGGGGACAAGAGAGGACAAGACAGTTGGATGGCATTGCCAGCTCAACGGACATGAGTTTAAGCAAACTCCAGGAGATGGTAAAGAAGCCTGGCTTGCTGCAGTCCATGGGGTCACAAAGAGTCAGACACAACCGAGCAACTGAACAACAATCATGCTATACACTAGAGGAAACTGACTTTATTGTACAGAACACTACAAAAAGGCTTCTGAAAGTGAGGCACCAGCAAGAGCAGAAATGTCTAATGAATCACTTTGCTATACAGCAGAAATTAACACAACATTGTAAAGCCACTATATGCCAGTTAAAAATTAATTTTAAAATAATTTTTAAAATTAATTTTAGAAAACACAATTAATGACAAGGAGCAAAAGATTTAAAAATAAGATATATACAGATTTTTGAAATTATCTTAGGAACCAGTGCAAAAAGAAAAAAAAAAAAACCCACCTGATTTCCATTAAAATAAAAAGAGAGGAAAAGACATTCACATTGGTATGGTATCGAAGTCATGTTTACATTGGCATGTAATGACATTCTCAGAGTACAGACTATGGCTTAGTTTTGCTTTTCCCAATGAAGTTTTCTCAAGTTTTACAAATTTATAAATACATAAAATATGTTAAAGAGAAAAGCATACTTAAGAGTTCCTGAGAGGAACCACTCCAATTCCAGACCATAAAAATTAAATTTAACCCTCAATAGAACTGCATGTTATAAAAACAACATGTCTATCATTGTTGTTCTGGTTGTGCTCAAGAAAATGAAAGATAATACAAAAACACAGCTCAGAAAAAAAGTGAGG